AATGATCAAACTGTCAGAGAAACATTGCCTCACGTTTGATAAAATACAAAAAATCTAGATGTTTATTTCATTTTTGTAAACCATTTGTATTCCATTTGTACCCTTAAATAAATACTTAAAGATTAAGTGGGTATTTATTAAGAGAATGATTTGTATGTTTGGAATTTTCATCTACGAGTAAGTTGGAAAGACATGAGCAACGGTACGTGCGTGCTCAGTGCAATTTGCAGCTATATCGCTGATACAACTTCATCTTATCACACAACACCGGCCTAATCCGGAAGCAAACTCTGATTTGGGCCGCTAAACAGCGCGGCAGAGTTTGAAACTGTACGCTAGCACATTTAGGCCCCAATTTTAAGTAAATAAGCGTTGTGTTTACTTAAAATTGGGGGCATGCTCGGCACAGTACAGCTCGCGGCAGAAGTTTCGCCAATCGCCCTCCGACGCAGAAGTAGGCAGCACGCTGCTAGCGATACAAATTGCCAACACCGACGATAGCGGAACTTACGATGCTCATTATTGGCAATGATGCCCCTACGATTGGCAAATCTAGATCAGTCGCAATACCATTTTTACTTAGTAAGGTTTCATATGCAAATTAATTTTGTTTTTTTATTACTCTGATTGTATCAATGAATTTAATTTAATCAAATATATCAGATTCTCCTTAGTGTGAAAATTAAAAACATTTCTTTTAGCAAAAACATACAGATTCCATAGTCTGATATTTGTAGATAACAAGTGAATAAATCATCAAAAAACTTCTTCTGGATGTAATAAACCAAATCTAGCCAACAGTCGAACACTATTAAACTTATAAAATTTCGTAAATTTAAGAATCAGTTTTATAAATTCCTTCACCACTAAAAATATCTTTCGTTTCTCTCTTTTATATTAGCATTAATTTAATGAGTAGCTACAGAACCATCGTATCAAAAGATAATCGTTTCATAATTAATATCAATAAACATTTTGTTAATTTTGCGTTAAATACTTTAGGGTTATTATTACAAATTCATTTTTTTTTCTTAACCGCTGCCATGATATTGACAGAGGTAGCTTTATCCGATCTTTACTTACTTTATGGTTACGAACCGCCATCACATTAATCTTCGAGAACCACAACTGTCTTCTAGTTTTAAACCGTTTGACAGTTTTCGAAAGATTTTTTTACTTATCATACCTTCGCTAAACTTTCTGCTCTTGGGAATACAAAATAATATGTTTTCTTCGTATTTCAAAACATCCATAAACTTAATGGTTAATCTTTATCCTGTTAATTTTTTAAATTTGTAAGTACAAGAAGTCAATTGAATACAATGTTTATTTAAAACATGTATTAAAGTTTATCAGTTATTGAGACTGATAAACTAATAAGTTTACTAATCAACTGATGTCTATCGGCAATGGATGATGATGATCCATATTTTGGTATGCCGCCCTGTTTTTAAAAAGCAAATTTCAAAACTTATAGTATTTATTCTCCTATCACTGAAGCTAATTGCACCATGGAATGTTTAGCTTTCGTCGACCACATAGGACGTTATGACTTAAAATGTTTGCAGGTATGCATGTACGAGTACCATTAGTAAGACTATGGCTACGGCCGCTTTGTTACATAGTACCTTCATAAAACGTAATTTCGGAGTTACAATTCGCGTTATTGAAATGGAACAAGAACTATATTACATTTTATTGACCTTAAATTGCAAGTCGTTCTGATTTTTTCTCGATTCGTTCGTATATTTGTTAAGTTAAATACAACTTCATGATGATTTATACTAATACATAATTTGCAACACTTGACATGAAGTTGTATTTTTTATTGTAGGGAGTATAGGAGGATATTCATGATTATAATGACGGATTTGATTCTTAAATTTCACTTAACTTTGAACTGTCTTTGTTTTGTTTTGGTGTCGTTAAATTTCGAGCAAAGATAACCGCTTCACTAACATTTCCTCAAACTAGTGTTAGACTGAAAATTACCGATGAACTTTTGATATCCGGTTAAAGTTTACCGTGCCGCGACTTGTAAAGAAGTTGCAGAGCAACTTTCGCTCTGTTGCCGAGTATTAACTAAATTTAAAATAGTATATTTTTAGTAACTTAACAAGCTGGGAAGAATTCTTTGGCTTGTTATATTATAACGAAATTGAAATTAAACACGTATATCGTGTTTAAACGAACGTGACATTCAAATCTGTCTCGTGAAAATATTCATGAGAAATTTGCAATCGGACTTTGCTTCGTATTCTTATCAAAACTAAAACTCTAATAAATAGAAGAATTTCAAAATTGTCATACAGACAAGAATCATTGTCTCAAAGCTATATTTATTATCATTCTTATATTAGAAATATATCAAGGCTATAAATACTCAGTCCGAGTATTTAATGAAAAAGCCTTTCGTGTAAAATTTATATATATATATATATATATATATATATATTTCGTGTAATATTTTATTCCACGACATGTTATTCTTATTTATTTTATACTTGTAAAATGTTGCATAAAATTTTAAACAATAAAACGTAATTCATTTAATTGAGTCATCACTTTTTTGCAAAACTTTTTTACGTGTGTACTTTGTTGCTAATAAATAAATAAATTAATTTTAAATATTTAGATGGAAAAATGTGAGCCGGCCGCTCTATGTACGTGCCCGACCAGAATTTATTGCGATATCGCTGATAAAACTTCATTCTACACAACACCGGCCTAATCCGAAAGCAATCTCCGATCCAACAGCGGCAGAGTTTTGAACTGCGGGAGTACATTAACGCGTGTTTACTTAAAATACGGGCGCGTTCAACCAAGTACAGCTGGCCACGAAAGTTTCGCCAGCTACCAATCGTCGCATGAGCCGGAGGCGCCAAACTAACTAACTAAGCAAACATCAGAGACGCTGCATCCAATAGCGAAACTTGCGTAGCATTGATGCCCTAATGATTGTTAATATTAATATCTAGCTAATCTCAAATATTAATAGCTACATTTATATTCAACAGCTTTTTCTACGCAAAGTCCAACTTCGGTTTTCATGTCGGATTTTCCTTTTATTTTTTTATATAATGCTGTTAGTTAATCTTGTACAAAATATTACCACTAGCAAAAAACTGGGAAGTCATACAAATATGATGGAAAAACAACCCATCCAAATATGGAAATATACAAGAAAATCTTATTTCATGCACATTTTATCAAATTATGACAAAAGCAGCTTATTATTAAACTTTAAATGCCAATCGTTTACTGTAATTTTAGAATAAAATTATAAATTCCTTTATCGTTGAAGGACCTCTCTTGTTTCTCTCGTTTGAATGAATGAAATATCTCGAGGAATGTAGGTACCAAATTATAATTCGTCTTATAAGAATAATAATAATTGAAGGTAATTTCGTTTTTTTATTTAGTGTTCCAGTCCAGTGAGCTATGTTCATAGACCTAAATAAACCTTTATTTTAAGTTTTAACTTATTTGACTTAATGAGTAGAAAATTAGGCTTATAAAAACCAAATGATGGGTACTTCTTTAGAAAAAAATTTAAATACGAGCAAGCAAAGTGTGTTTCAAGTAAGTGGTTCACCTGATGTTATCTGATTACATAGATATCTACGACACCTGAAGGTTGGCACCGCCTCTGCAACATCAGATGCGTTGCTAACCCATAAGGTGTGGAAATAGACCCCGGCTTCCTTACTTACCGGACGAAACGCAAAATTAAATTTTTGCCTTCTGTTGCCTTCTTCTTTCTTCTTTTTCTGCTTCCCTTTCACGCTGGTCTTCTGTAAGGCCCGGGTATTTCTTCACACGAGCCTACCAATTCCTGAAATAGTACGGACTGCTGCACAGTGATCTTATATGAACAGTGGACCCTATGGACATCCGAGCAGCAATAACTATCTCAGCAGCACAAACTGCGAACTTTAAAAGGATTTTTTATTACCACCAATGCACATTGCAAAAATACTTTATTTTTCTTTATACTTTATATTTTCTAGCACAACATTAGCAATCTCTGCCATTCCGCACTCTATTACCGCACAAAATAGCGGCTTTATTATGGTAACTAAAAATTATTTCGTATTATTATACAACGGTGGTTAATTGAAACGTGAAATTGCTACCTCCCTTCGACCGCATGGGTGCGTTAAACGTAAAATGTTTTCAGGTACCCATGCAGTGGGAAGTCATGCTGCGGTTAATTTTAACAAGCAACACGACCATGCCGCATAACGGCCGCTCAAGCACGCCGATAATGAACTTGCTATGGCATACATTAGCGTTCCGTTACTGTCGCCATTGTATCTAATGACCAACTGAACGGGACGTAAAATATAAGCGATATGCTGTTTAAATAAACATGCGATGATATGTAGGAAATTGTATTTTTGAACGCGTTATTGAAATAGATAAAAAACATGTTTTTCATTATAAAGAACAGATAAGTAATCGAATAGAAAATGGTGTCGCCCTGTAATCATCTTCCACGTACACTAAATGAGAGCTTACTGACATCTTTATAGCAATATTCACGGATATATTGTACGTCTACAGTAAATTTTGTATAAAAAAATCTCAAAAATATTTTATTATTTGTTTAATTACTCAATTGAGATCAAATTGAAAAACTGGACATCGGTACAAAAAAATGTTTAAAACTTAAATTTTCGCGGCAAAAATCGACCAACCTAATTGTTTATAATTGTAATGTAACTCACTAGTAAAGGTAGTCAGTGACACACACAATGATGACGAATTAAACGACATGTCATTCATCAAAATCGGTTCTGGTTAATAGTTACGAGGGTACATAGTGGGATATAAACAGGTCAAGCGCATAACATAATCCCCCAAGTACGAATAAGTATTATTATATAATGGTGGTTGCCACAGTGGTACAAAAAGTTTCAATAATTTTATAAATACTTGTAACTCTCTTATTCAGACTTTAGTTCCAAAAATGACCCAGTTTCATTGCATTGTTTCAGGGTCTGCGCGATGTTCCTGCCGGAATTCGCAAGTTTCGTGGCCGCCATCTTGTTCGCCGTACATCCAATACACACCGAGGCGGTAAGTTACCTAGTTACCATAGTTGTAGACGCCTGACCACAATCTTACGTGTCATCTCTCTTCCTACGTGAATGTTACTTAAGTGTCAGTACGAAGTAGCTACTAGTTAGGGGACGTAAAGTTGCTCCGAAGTTATAAGCAAATTAATATAAGTTATAGCAAATACATTAAAAGTGAAACCAAAACACCATCCTCTACGGTCTACTAGCATGCAAAACGGAGAAAATGCAAATAAAGACATTTGTTCAAGTTGAACAACTGCATGCGATGCCATGTCGTATTGAAGATATTTAAATTAAGCGATTTATGGTCTTATTAAATGAACTCAGGAAGGATGATAAAACATAGCTCTTACAAACATATCCGATAGCAAATACCACAAATACTAATAAAACCCATTTAATGCAATGCTTAGTACTTTAAAAAATGTTAAAGATGTACATACCCAGATGTACACGTGGCATGTGCACACGTGGCACGAACCTGTAGATTAGACTCTTGCTTAAATGAAGTAAAAAAATTTTTTTGTGTATTTTTCTTCAATTCAAAAGAGAAAAACTCCATGGTCAACCGTTTTTTTTTTTTTACTTACGTGAAGTTGCAATTCGTAACGGGGAATACTAGTTCAATAAAACCAATTAATTGTGTGAATCCTAACTACTTCATAAAATTACCGCTAATCTTCGACAAAGAATGGAATCTAGACTCCGAGAATAAATGAAACTTTTGATGTAACTTTTTCTATAATTTTATAGTCCAGAAATAAGAATGCTTTTTTATAATGAACTTTAACTCGATGGTTTGAAACAAGACTTTATTCTAGATGTTTGCTTCGTTCTTTTTTGTTTTTCGTTTTAAAAAAAACAGTTTCTAAATAGTGCTGCGTACTAAAACTAAAACAGGCCCTACTGAAACCTCTAACCACTCTTAACTAAATAAGTTTGATATTCAGTATTAATATTGTCAGAATTTTGAAAAAAGAAACTGTGTATTTTTCGTATCTGTTACGTTGTAATCGAAGACTTCTAGTAAAGCGAAAGTAATTACATAACGAACTTTCAACGAAAGGCACAGCAAATGCACTCAACAGCCGTAACAGACTAACAAGAGGTAATAGAGAAATTGGCAACAGTTCCGCACCACACAATGCACATGCGTCATACGCAATTTATGCCCTATAGTTATCAATCGAGTTACAGTAGAACCATTGTGAACGTCAGTCCGCTGCTTTACATTTTAGTGTTGCAGACATATTTCCCTTTGACGGCCACTACAGATCGCTAGTTGGAAGCCCGTCGCCATGGCAACGCTTCGAGACAAACGAACCATAAAAGTGCAAGCTATACGATTGTCGCACTCTCGCACACTTGACTGCTGATTTTCTAGATCATTCGACCGCCTTACACACGACCTTATATTGTCGTAAGGTGGCTGCTCTCAGGAAATATCAAAAACTTAATTGCAGAGTTCGTGAGTTAGAAAACATCACTAGCCTCTTTTGCTCCTGAGGAGAGAGAAAAATGAATCATTATGATGACCTTTTTTAGTCTTAAACATAACAGACGATAAACTATACCGAAAAAGGGCACAAAGGTGGAAAAATCCAGGCGAAAAACGAAGAAAAAAATAGATCAATCTGGAATTCCTTTTGGTTTTACATTTTTTTCTGGTCCAAACACAAGTCCAACGTTTTTGCAGTTAAAAAAACCCATTCTTATTTCGACTAAACTTAGATTTGTTTGGTGTAGCAGTAAAATAACGAAAAGAAAAAAAATCTAATTCTTTTTCTCAATGTTTTATCTATTTAATTTACTCGCAATCACTTAAATTTTTAACTTTGAAATAGAAATGAGGTCTTTTCGGGAATCAATTCTGTTATGCTCAAATATAAAGTGACGAATTAAAAATGTTTTCGTCTGCCTAATTAGTTATTATAAGAAAAGTCACAGTGAAACGGAATAGGAGGTCTATTCGCAGCTTACGCGAATTAATGAAACTCAAAACCAAGACTGGGGGGAGAGTTTTTATAGCGGGGTCAAATTAGTTCCTCATAGAGCGACGACGTTGCGAGTGTCACAACCCCGCCCTTAATTACGGCGACCCTTAGTCTTATCTCTGCATGTGAACAATTAATTATGCTTCATAATTAATTCTAGCGTAATGGGCTTACACCCGTTACGAAATAATAAACTTTTAAATTAATTAAAATTTTCGTTTGTTGTCGCACGCACGGCTCCATTTAATTATATTCCTTCTAACACGCGTTCAATACGAGCGTGTATTAGGTATAATGATATTCGTGTTACAATGATATTACCTACTCATTATGATGATACTGATGCGTTTTTTTAACCTTTTTCATGCAAGCAGGTGGATAGCGAGCTGGCGTTACGCCTGATGTAAAGTGACAACCGCCGCCCATGAACATCGACGGCAGAGCACCTTTTAATAAAGTGGGCCACGGCTACCTCACTCACCAGAAGAAACGCAGAAGTATAGACACTTAGACTTCACTCTTCTGTGAGATCGTGCTACTTCCCCAGACGGACCTGTCCGTTCATGCAACAACGAACTATTGCGTGGGCCTACCGCAATTAAACTTTTATACACTGTAATATCGCACAATAAATGGAACCCATAATTTTATTTTCAAGTGTTTAAGACACCGAATTGAAAATTACCCTAAAAGTTTTAAGTTGTAACATTCGGACATTTCAGTTAAAACATATGAAATGCGGCTCCGACTGTTAAAGTAGATAATTAAAGCCCACACATTAAAAAACGTGCATAGACAATGTTTTTTCATTACATCGTAATAACTTATGATCCGTCGCATGTATGAGCCACATAGACCATAAATCGCGTCATTGAAAAACGGCGTGAAACAAATGATTTTAGTTGGGTTTGGTTTTCAATGCATCTGAAACCCAGTTTTGTAGATGTCCATGGTAAACATAAAATATAAACTTATAACATGAAAAAAAGTTTATTCATCATGTTTTATTTCCTCCGAAACCGCACTCCAACTCATAATGGTTGGCTTGCTTGCACCTCCAGCGTTGTTAGACTCCCTGGGCCGTGTTTGTCACTAATCCATACTAATATTATAAATGCGAAAGTAACTCTGTCTGTCTGTCTGTCTCGCTTTCATTCCAAAACTACTGAACCGATTTAAATTGGTACAAGATTAATAATTGGTACAAGATAGTCTAGAGCTTGAGAAAGGACATAGGCTATTTTTAATTGGAAAAAAGGATTATACATGTAAATAAACCTTCCTCTTGAATCACTCTATGTAGAAAAAACTCATCAAGATCCGTTACGTAGTTTTAAAGATCTAAGCATACATAGGGACAGACAGCGGGACGACTTTGTTTTAACTATGTAGTGATGCACAGCAAAGAGACGTATACATTTCAAGTGACATTTTACCAGTACCAAAGAACTAAAAGAAGTGCACCACAAGAAGTGACACACTTCTTTTGCCTTCCCGGAGCCCCTCCACTAACACTTAAACTTTATGGTTTGGTATTAAAGTTCAAATTGACTTTTAAGTATTATTACGAATCTAGAAGTTACGGGAATATAGAAAAGTGTTGTTAGACTTTTTCAGGCAATTTTCTAAATTTTTCTCTCCGTAAGAACCATCGTCGAACTTTAAGGAAATATTCCTTAAAGTACGACGATGGTACGACGATGGATAAAAAAAGAATTAGCGAAATCGGTTGAGCTGTTCTCAAGATTTGCGCTTAGCAACAGAACATAATGTAATAGAGATTTATAAACTTTACCAGTCTTGTTTTACTTTACAGTAGAACACAATAGACTTTAATGCTACTTACATGAGATAAAAAAGAAATTACTATAATGGACAGCCGTCCATTTGTGCGCCCCACATTTAAGTAACGAGGCTGGCAGTTGGTGGGACTACGTTAGAATGTTGAAATTTGAAAAGGGAGAATGATTTAGAAATATGGTCTTTTAATGTAGAAAATTGACTGCCAATTACATAAGAGTACAGCAACGATATGATTTAATGAGTGAATTAAAATCTCTTCCGAACACATAAACTACATATACTACACTCTGTAAGTGTACTATTTACCAAAATTGTTGTACCAAAGAAAGAGATTTTTTTCTATTGAAATGTCATTCGCATTTCATAAGCAACGCAGGAAAGTATAAAGAAATTTTAAGATTTTTTTCCACAATTATAAGAAATATTCGTAAAGATGAACGTATTTTTAAAAAGCGAAAAAATATTCATTCCTTAATTAAACTGAGTGGAGAAATGAAACGTTTCAAATGACCGAACCGGAAAAATTCGGAAAATACTCGAACTCAACACAACGTTTCGAAGTTATAACAATGGCGGAAACAGGCTGACAACCCACAGTGACAGTTTGTTTAGGATAACGCCAACGTGTTAATGACAGCTAGTATTTTAGTCCTATTCTTGTTCCTTCTCCTCTTCTATTTAACTATAGATAAGAATAAAAATTAAACGTTCAACGGACAGTCAACCTATATGTATAGTTGCTGAGCGAACACGAACATGTTCCGGACATATGCATTTATATGTGTAGGTCAATGTTGTTTTAATAAATAAAGATTTCGAATGTACGCGGCGTTTATGTCAATTTATGTGAAAGTATGTATGTGTACGTTTATGTCAAAGTATGTATGTGAATGGCAGATGATATAGAACGAAGAGAGATAGCAGTCTATAGAATTGCAATCTAATTACACCAATTGGCGTGATTTAAGCGCCTCGGTTTCATTGCGTTAGTGACATCTATTTGTGTAAATCATTGGTGTAGGAAATAAATAATTTTCATTGAATCTACCTCGCTCCGCACATATCTAGAGTAAACGACACCGCATTCAAAATAACGTTAAATACATTCACATATATCGATAGCTAAGCAGCTTAAATATTCGGTCCACAAATAGCGTGCGATCCGAGTGGCGCAACACTAATGTGATGGAAGTGCTCGACG